GCTGAAACTACAGAATACAGCACAAGTATCTTTTGCCAACAACGTTCTTGATTTAGTCAGCAGGTTGTGAATTATACCAAGAAAGGCACATTGCATTTTGATGGGATCTGGCTTTTCATACCAGTAAAAAAGCCACGATGTAAACGAAATATAGTTTAAAAAGCTGATTTAGGGAGTAATCTGTTCGTGGAAGACAATGTTAGCCGCTCTGTATACCTTGTGAATAGGGAAGGAATAATTGTTTTAGATGCTGAACTGCAGGTATGTCTATAGTTTGGTATAAGATGTCGTATGAACTTTTATCTGTCAGTTCGTCACGGCAATTCCATGCAGCGAAGAATGCGATTCTTTCGAACCTGTTGATATTAACGTTTTAGTCGACAGTAATGAGGTCTGTGTGATCTTGAACTCGGGACAAGTCCTCACTGTTGATGCTGAATCCCATACGGTTAGTTGATTTGTTTTTGACTTTCATTTTGTTCTAGACCTTTTTGACTTTTATGAAATTTTTTGAATCAAAGCTCGCATATATCGTTCATGTGCCTGCGCCGTGTTACCCTGCTAGAGCATGTTGGAGCTTACGTGAACGCGCCCGATGTTGATCGATCGTTCTCTGGCACGGCGCTAACACGGCGCTAGAACTGCGCTGGCACGGGCTACGCTGAACACAGTCTTTCAACAAACTGTTGGAAACATAATTACACTCAGATGTGCGCTGCATGCTTCCTTGGCGAAGAGTGTATCGCTGCATCATGGAGCCCTGATCAGACTTCTTTGGTGACAGTGGAAGGTGATTACGTGGCGTTCTACGATCGTAGCTTCGAACGTTTTGCGCAATGGTAATACCTCCCTGAGCATTCATCCACCAGTATCATTGCTATTTTTCAGGGAACTTTCAAGTAACGAGGAAGGGAAGGATGCGCTTGTTACGGTTGGATGGGGAGCAGCGGAAACACAGTTCCAGGGTAGCGCAGGGAAGGTAAGGTGCATGTGACCACGTCTTTGCCTGACTTTCAAGCCTATAGTGGTTGCTTTGCAGGCTGCACGCGAAAAGAAAGTTGTGCTTTCAAAAACAGCCTATGATAATGATACGAAGAAGCCTCACATAAGGTGGAGAGCGGATGGTTCATATGTGATGGTGTCGTTTTATGAGCAACAAAGCGGGGAGAGAAGAATTGCGGTGAGTGGAGTATACACATTATCTTGCTTGAATGACATGCAACTTCTCATCGTTGGTGTTTTTCAAGAATTATTTTTTGCATTATTCACACTTTCCAAAAAAAAAACGAATTTCCCTATTTTTTCCAGAATTATCAAAGATTCTT